TGCCGTTGAGGCATTGGGGTTGGAAGGGATGAAGTACACCCTGCAGGGGGTTGGGTAAGTTAGTTGTTGAAAAGAGTCAAGCTGGATGGGAGCAACTGAGTGAAAGATTGTTTACCCTGTGATGGGCATTTTGTCTGAGCAGACGGCGGCGTCCCTGTTATGGAACCGGTACGGTATGAGCTGGGGCACAGCACACCTTTGTGTGGTCTGATGGTGACGTGCGCAAGGTAGCAGAGTAAGTCGAATATGAATACGGACTATGACAGCAAGCCCAGAACAGGACCGAGTTACTGGTCGATAGAAACTTATACTTTGCAGTAAGTTATTGTCTGCTATTGTGTTAGCACTGGCTGAAAAGAAAAGTATGGGTATTTTCGTGTTCTTCCTACATACTTGATTGCTGTATTTTATTATATAGTCTTTGGTATATTGAAGCAATACTTGGAGCTGAAACGATGTTATAACTTTGACGGTGGAGATACAATCATAGATATCAGCCTTATTTTGAGCCTGATAGAAGAATTAACCCAAAGTAGTGAAGCCAGCCGTTTATGCCTAGTTGATAAGGCTGCAACACAAACAGAGCAAACAGCGAGGGGACGGAATGGAACAACCACATTCCCGCCCTCACCCGTGCTTTTGTGCGCCCGCAGTCCCGCCTCCACTCCCATTAATCACAGTCCAAGCAAAAGCACTGGATCCCTTGGAAGTTGGGCCCATCCAGACTCCACATTCATCATTTTATCCGATACCCAGCCCTCTCTACCCCGACGGGCGTGCTTCTAGTCTAGCAGTCTAGGCTGTCTCTTCAGACCCTGGCTGGCCTCATTCACTTGCATTCCCGGGATACCATTAAATTCCCAATCAATTTCCCTTGAGCTGCTGGCGTTGCTGCTATTGCTGCCAAGAGGCGGGTTACAGTTCCATAACAGAGGCTCAGAGCCTGAGACCCTTCCGCCCCCCTCTCTCTCCAGGGGCCGTTTCCCACGGGATATGTCAAAGGTTAAGAATAGAAAATCCTACCAATCTGAGTCTCACTAACCCATTTCATTTCCTGGGATCCAAGGCCCCGCGGCCAGCCAGGGTCGAAAGCGCCACCAGCTTACGCAATGGGCAGATCCTCCCGCCGCGGTGCTTGTTTTCCTTGCTCGTCTCTTACTTACTGTGGTAAGCTCTGTTGACTTTCTGAGCCACTCTGATGCGGTTTGTCTCCTCTTTGCGATCAGCATGCCACACATTACTGGCTGTTCGACAGTGCAACTGACCCGTCTGATACAACATTCCACCTAAGATGCTGGAATTACCAATGACACTGGTGCTTATGAGCTAGCCTTAACTTGAAGGAGCAGGAAAGGTCCTTGAGCTGCCCCTACAGCCAGGGGTGATCGATCCCTGACGGCTATATACGGGCCATATGTCTTTTTCTCATCCATATTCTCCTAGACGATACCTGTTTTCCAAGGGTCTCGCGAACCTGGAAACTCCCCCAATCGTTCGCTCTTTTGTACTGGTCTCGGAATCCCAAGCCCGGGGTGACTTCAGACTGAGTCTGGTATCGAGCCTCCTCTCGATGCTTAAATTGTTTCTATGTTATAACTACTGGCCGTAGCTTGAACGGCCGTCCTTTCTCTCAATCAATTTTGTCCATTTGCGCCATTACTTCATATAATAAATTAATCACCATGATACTCTCGCGGAGAAGCTATCTCCTTCCCACTGTGATTCTCATCTGTCTCACCTACAGTCTGTTCTCTAGTCTACCGCCCGGCGCCAGGAGACCACGTTATGCTCATGACAATGCGCAACAACCCATCTCGACTTCAGCATCGTCAGGTGGTGATCGAATCCATTGGACTAAACAGTCCGAACACCATCCAATCGAGGATTACATCCCTCTTCCTACAGCAGTACCATCCGCTATACCTAAGATACAGTATGAGTTCCCAAGAGAGTCGTGGGTTGCTGGATGGAGGAGGAAGAAGAGACAGAACGCCGTGAAGAAGGCGTTCCAACATGCGTGGAAAGGATACAGAGACAATGCCTGGCTACGGGACGAGCTGTCTCCCCTCAGTGGGCGCCATCGCGAGACGTTTGCTGGATGGGCAGCTACGCTGGTTGATTCCCTTGATTCTCTGGTCATTATGGGCATGACAAAAGAGTTCGAAGAAGCGCTGGAAGCTCTCGACCGCATCGATTTCTCGACCACGCATGCTCTGCAAATCAATATTTTCGAGACCAACATTCGCTACCTGGGCGGGTTCCTGGGAGCCTATGATCTTACCAATGGAAAATACCCTATCTTGCTCAAGAAGGCCACCGAGATTGCGGACATGATATATGGATCGTTCGACACCCGTAACAGGATGCCGCAATCCAGATGGGAATGGACCAGGTAAGGCAGACATACATTCGACCACGATGACCAGACGGATCGCGCTACCCGAGGCGCTGTATCCGTATGATGAAAGCAGGTGCTGACCGGCCTCTAGATCTGCAGGAGGTCACGGCATTATGCCCAGTAAACAAACCATTCTTGCTGAACTCGGATCGCTCAGTCTGGAATTCACCCGAATGTCTCAGCTGACCAAGGATCCCAAGTATTTCGATGCCATTCAAAGAATTACAGACTTCTTTGAAGAGAATCAGGGACTTACGAAACTGCCAGGCTTGTGGCCTATGATGGTGAATGCACAAGATATGGAATTCAGTGACCCTCGATTTACAATCGGAGGGATGGCTGACTCGACGTACGAGTATCTCCCCAAGGAGCATATACTGCTTGGAGCTCAAACAAATCAGTATCGCGGAATGTACGACTCATTCATGAAAGCTCTCAAGAGCCGTCTCCTCTTCCGCCCAATGACGAAGGACAATCAAGACATTCTTTTTGCTGGGAACGTCCAGGCCAATGTGATCTCCCCCAGCAGGGAAAGGCTGGATCCACAATGGGAACATTTGAAGTGCTTCTTGGGTGGCACTGTCGGCATTGGGGCCAAAGTATTCGACCGTCCCGAAGAACTCTCTATCGCACGGAAGTTGGCCGATGGATGCATCTGGGCATACGATATCATGCCCACTGGTATCATGCCAGAGATACTCCATCTGAGCGCATGTCGTGACCCGAATGATTGCAAGTGGGACGAAAACAAGTGGTATCAGGATGTGCGCCACCGCTTGGCGAAGAAGTCCAGCTCTCAGAATTCCATCGAGCAGGCCGAATCACTCATTGAAACATACGGGCTGCCGCCGGGGGTGGTTGATATTCCAGACCCGAAGTATCACCTCAGGTTAGTCTTCTCTTTCTGCTGGCATACTCATGCGCTGACATTGTTCAAAGACCAGAGGCTATCGAATCTGTTTTCATACTGTACCGTATCACCGGCGATACGAAACTACAAGATGCTGCATGGCGAATGTTTAAGAATATCGAGAAGATGACTTGGACGCATTTTGCCCACGCCGCAATCGCTGATGTGCGCGATCCTAAGTCACCACAGCTGGATTACATGGAGAGTTTCTGGTTAGCGGAAACCCTCAAGTACTTCTACCTCATCTTTTCCGAGCCGGATGTTGTAGATCTGGATGAATACGTCCTGTAGGTGCCACACTAACTGCCATTCGCTTCCTTGGCGCTAACCCGAATGCAGGAACACTGAGGCGCATCCATTCAGGCGCCCTTCTATTTGATCGTGAAAGCTGATCCCCAGTTTTCTCGTTTACATGCTGTGATTAGCGCGACAAAACTTGCATCTGTGAGGCGTTATTCATTTTTAGTTTCTTTAGACAGACCCAATCCTTTTGTACATAGACTAGGCCTTCCAATCTGATAAAATGCCTCCGACTTTCGCGTCCTCGCTAAGAGCAGCAAAGAGTCGATCCTAGGCCAGTGTATTGACTGTGTCGAATTCACGTACCCCTTTCGAAAATCTCTTTCTCTCCCATATATTTGTAAGTCATCTCTGCTTGTCAGTCATAGCATTGAGTCCCAGCAGACTTTCCTCTGTCCACCATCCACTGTTGACTGAAAAAGTCTTTTGCTGTTGGTCATAGCACGTCCGTGCCACTATGTCGGACTGAGTTGTAGCAGGCTTGCATTCCTGCAAAGCCCGGCGACTCTGAAGCAATCGTGATCTCCGTTCAATGTACGGGTGGCTTAATTAAGACAGCAACCCAACAGAAGCATAAGAACGCGTCCTTCGCTCCGATTGATTTGTAGTTCTGTATTGTATGAAAGCAATTCGGTTGGAATGGTAAGACACAGTCACAACCCTGGATCCGTCCCGTGCCTCGAATGCAGGTACACTTCCTGAGAAAACGAAAAGCAAGTATGCCCACTGTGGTTGGTTTAACCTTTACAATGAAACAGCAAGTTGTAGCATGGCATGTAGCAGCCGGTACTATCCGAGTTGTGAAATGAATGGGTTAAGCGGGGTGGGCAGGGGTAAGGAAAGCTACACTGGTTGGTACACTCGATCTAGTCATTCTTATATTTGTCGGGTGCGCTTTTTGTTGTTACGCCCTCTTGTTTTTCGTGGCGGTGTATAAATTCCGTGACTACGCTTAGGGGAGGCAGGCTAACGGCAGAGAAGATATGTCTTATGTAGCTGTTGTGTTTTGACCAAATCGTCCCGATATAGGACAGGGATGGATGGCTCCGTTCTTTGTGCCTGTGTGTGTGTGTGTGTGGTTATAATGATGCAGGGATTGTGGCCGTGTCCTGGAATATAATTATCCTTGTACAATCCTCCAGGCTTGTGATCAGAGGCCCAGTTCTCAAAAATAAGTGCCTTGGACAGACGCATGGTATGCCGGTTGTGTTAGTTAAGACGGACATCATTCCCCGAAATCTCTCATTGTCTGATGATGCAGAGTAGAAGGGAGCGCAAACTCCAAGAATCCACCATATCTGACCAACGAATCATGGGGCCTGTCATTAGAAATCAGAGTTCACACCCCGCACCATTTGGGAGGTACTGGAACCCGCGGAGAAACTCCGGCTAGGGCTAAGGACTTTAAACACAACACAACCCCAGCCTGTGGCCCCAGATACGATAACAGGTCCGTTGGGCACCGATCTCTCTCCCACCAAATGTCGCAGAAATGGCTCTCCGGGCTAGCAGGCCAGGTCGCGTGAAGGTCGAGAATAGTTTCATGTTACGTCAAGTGGTCTGGTTCGGTACTCACCCGATCTGGTGCATGATAACAGCTTCATCAGTCACAAGTGTCATTATGATGCCAACCCGAGAGGGAATTGGACTCTCAGGGAGCTGTGGCAAAAGAGCAGCATCCCTTCCTTTGCGGGGTTAACATAGCTTGACGTCGTCTTACAAGTATGTTTGCTGGTGACGTTTGGAAGGGAACGGAGGGAGGGGGCGACTTGGTTTCCGATTATCCCTGTCAGATGCCCGCCGCCAGTTCGTAGCGCATGTTTAAGCCTGCCAATCTGAAAGAGGCATTGACAGCACTTCAGGCTTTGGTGGTATCTAAGGTGGCCAGACCAGGGCTGACTCAGGTCCTGGATTAAAGGGATATACAGTGAATGAAGGAACTGGACCAGCAGGTTGAAAGAGGTCTTGTCTACCTGAAGGTACTATGAATTCCGCGTACCACTAAACGAAAGGAATCGACGGTCTAGACAATCTGCTGGATCCGAAAGGAGCCCAGCCCCAATTTAATTTGCGCTTTATTACACTCTTGCTCCGCACAATCGGGTTTCAGCAAGATCAGATAAGAAGTGATTCAATGAGCCGATTTTAGTCTGCTTTTAGCCTGGGAATTTGGAGGCCCGTCTCTATGGCGCAATTTTGACGTGATAGTTGACCGGATATACTTGGACATGCTACCTCTCGTCCTGACTTTGCGGTGCATTAGCCGAGTCGATCATTGCAAAAATTTCCCCGAGTGCGAAGTACGGCAACGTGCGGCACAACGAATCAAAAAAAACCCTCCCTCTTTTCAACCGTGGAGCCTAGTCAGAGCCCCCTGCAGTCGGATCAGCAGCCCCTGATCGACTTAATGAAGCTGCTGCCATGAAAAGTTAACATTTGGCTTCCAGAACCTGTTTGGCACGGTTGGTGCCTTGCTAGAATATTTCGAGAACGGGATGTGGGCACACTGGGGGGTTTGTGAATCTTATGGGGTACGCGGCTGCCCTCGAGGAGATTGAACGCTAAGTCAACTGGTTCGCTGTTCCTGTCCCCCTGATGACCGTCTCCAAGAGAAATGGAGCCCCGTTGGGAAAGGCATGCGCTTCTACGACTATCTGATTGATTGATTTGATTGATACGGAAACGCCCGGTCGGCCGATGTCGGACGAGCCCCACACACGGTTTGGTTACCAAACCTGTCACATGAGTAACACAACCTGAGCAGCTCAACCGCCAGCTCCGGCTCTCGTTGACAAAGTCCCCACAATCTGCATCTGGTAGGAAGGTTAATGTATCTCGTGTAAGGGGTGATCAATAATCCCAGTTCAAACCTGGTTCTAAATATGCCAGAATGATTGAAAAGGTCATGTTTACTGTGACAAAAGGTAGTGGGATGAACACGGAGCGGAAGGTCCCGTCGACCACTTATCTGATCCGGAACAAGACACCCTGGCTACACAACGAAAATACGTACACATTACCTCGCGAATGCACTGTTGATTATTACAATCCTACCTTCCCACTAACTAATGTCTGCTGTAGATTATTCTTTTCACTAGATGCTGACGGCAAGAGCTGACTTTTGAGACCTATGTCCTGTAGTCCTCTGGTCGACATCACCTCAACGTCGCCAAGCGTTCAGCTGGCAAGGAAAAGTTGGGTGTTAGCCGAGGAATAGGCCGCACCCGGATCAGATTAGATCGGTAACGTAATTCGGCTGCGGTGCGGTTGTTACGTACCGTCTCATTGCCGTTGTCAGGCCACCGGATGAATCCATCTTGGATCATGCTATTCAGGTCAGTAATCAGGAGGTGTGTACGAGACGTTCAACACTTCTGATGACCTGGACGTACTATGATATCAATACGATAAGTATACTGAGGTTGCAGATTCCGTGCCTCCCAGTCGGGATAGTTTTTCCATTCGTTTGCCTCCCATTTCCTACCGACTCGAGTCAAATAACCCGCTAGCTGCAGATCCAGACTACCCCGCGGAGAGACTGGGAGGGGTCCGTTCGCTTGAAGTACCCGATTTCTTGGCACAGCAGCGAATAGTAATGTTCTTATAGACTGTAGAATTGACTGAACAAGCCTATCGGACGCTCTGGCTTTGCAGAGACCCCCCAGGTGGGAATCGAATCAATTGACGCCCCGGTGTTGTGGGATAAACGTTCCCGAACGGTCGCTGGAATTGGACGGGTATTGTTACCTTGTTACATACTGTGGAGAGAAACTGGAACCGGGTATCGATGGATGGATGGACCTGTACGAGACATTTCCTCACCGAGTGGCAACCAGAAAAAAGTCATGCTTTCATTCTTGAATAATTGTTTCCTACGATTTTTCGCCTCGCATTCTTCTCCCCTATTTGAATCCGTCATTGGTAGCTTTCGCACGTACCCTATCTCATCGGGTTCTTTTCTTTATTTTCCTTTCTCCAGGATTTCCCTAACAATCTCCTCTTCTTTCTTAACTACTCTTGCTCTTTCAAAATCTCAATTCCATCATCCACTTACAGTTTCATACAAACCGGGAGAATCTTTTTCTGACACGTACAGACCCTAGCGCATTCGGAACCGTCCTCCCGGCGCCGTCTTGCCCCAGGCACATTATTATCCTTCCACCTCCCTAAAACAGCATCGCTCTGATCCTCCGGGACTTCTTTCATTTCCGATCTGCTCCCTGCATCAGTCGTCCATCCTTATCTGAATGCCCACTCGCTTTGCGGTGTCCACTGGTCTAGTGTAGACCGTCTTCAATTGCCACTACCTTTGCTCATCCCTTTTCGTTGGGTCCTCTTTCTTTTTAATTCCACTGTCGACCAGCAATCACGTTTGCTCGATCCTTCAATCCGCCCAACATCTTCTCTCTTCGCGCTTTGTTTTAATATCGTCACACGCTCAGAATTGGCGGGCCATTATTTCGCTCTATACTTCGCTTCACAGAGATATAATGGGTAAACTATACTTTCTTTTCTGCTTCCATTCTTCCGTCGCTATCCCTAGACAACCAACTCTTGTGGTCTACAACGGCCCAGTTCTTGACAAATGACTGACCTTTCTTTGTGTATGTAGTTCACGCCGTACCTCAGCCGCCTTCATCGAGGCTGGCGACGCCACAGCCTCCCCTTGCCTCCAATGGAGACCACAAGAGCATCCCCGTATCGTCGACATCTCATCCCGATAACCCTGTCCCCGAAGAGCCCCGTGGAGTTCGGGCACTGTCTGTAACCGATATCAATTTCAGCATCTCATCACCATCATTGCGCGATACCGAATCCACCGGCTCCGAATCACCGTCGCTTGCCCAGACGCCCGACACAGAGATCTCGTCTGATGCGGAAGAATCATTGAAATCCTCCGTCGAAGATGGCCCCGAGAAGCCCCGTCGAGCCTCCACTGTTCTAATCTCTCAGAACTCTGAGGATATGAGAAGAATTTTGGAGAATGTTGGCGTTGCTGGTACTCAAAAGCTCCAGCCTCTGTGCTGTGGTGGTGGTTGCTGTCGCAGCCAGCCTTTGGTCAACATTCCCACGCCATCAGTTGGAGCTAACGTCGTCACTCCTCCGGACAACAAGGCCTACGAGAGCCTCAAGCTCAATGTCGCTTACCTCACTTTGGATAGCGAATTAACGAATCTTGTGCCTCTACCAGAGAAGACGGTCTCTTTTTCTGCAATCCCGAAATCGGCAGTCGATTTGCAACTGGGTCCTGCAAATCATCCACCTCCTTTCGTCCAGCCTCATCCCCCATATGACGTCTTCCGTGCGCCTTTGCACCATGCCCGAGAATTGACCAAGTCCGGTGCCGAGAAGCGTACATATCATTTTGACATCGACGTAACAGACTACCCTGCCGAGAGTGGTAGTGTCGATTTCGTCGTCGGTGGCGCCATTGGAGTATGCCCCAAGAACAAGGATGAGGAGGTCGATGATATCTTCAACCTATTGGGCGTGCCCAAGTCAATTCGTGACAAGAAGATTACCGTGCGCACCACGAAGGGTCGGTGGCCCACGATCTGGGGAGACGATCAACCTCGGGAGCTAATCACCACCCGGCGGGAATTGCTGAACTGGTGCTCAGACATTCAGAGCTATGCACCCACCAAGGGTCTATTCCGACTGCTCGCCGAGTATGCCAGTGAACCAAATGAAAAGAAGATCCTTTCGTTCCTCGCCTCCGCTCAGGGACAAGGTGCCTTCTGTGACCTGCGTACTAGCTCGCACATCACCGTCTCTCAGCTGTTGCACGCTTTCCCCTCATCTCAACCTCCCTTGGATCATCTTCTTTCTGTCTTGAATACCCTCATGCCGAGGTTTTACTCTCTTTCTCAAGACCCTCTTCTCTCATGCAAGGATAAGGGTACTCAAACCCGTCGTTTGGTTGAAGTGGCGGTGACTGTTGCCGAATCGGACGATTGGAAAGGAGGCATGCGCACGGGCGTTGGGTCTGGATTTCTCGAGCAGCTCGCACGCCAAGTGATCGAGGCGGAGAAGAAGGGCATTGACCCTTCCACTCTTGATCTCCATGTCCCTATGTTCCGGGGCTTGATGGCCAACCCGCTGGCCAAGCAGTTTACTTCCGACGGCCCGATGCTCTTGATTGGTGCCGGTGTTGGCATCGCTCCCTTCCGCGGTTTCGTACAGCGACGCCTCCAGTCGGCCAACTGCGCTAACAAGGTCTGGGTCCTGCAGGGCGTCCGTGACTCCCTCTTGGACGAGCTCTACCGTGGCGAATGGGGCGTTGATGAGGAGAAGGTGCGCACGGTTGTCCAAAGCCGCCGTGGGGAGAGCAAGTATGTTCAGGAAGAGGTGCGCCATCAAGCTGATTTGGTTTGGTTTGTCATCAATGCTCTGGACGGCCGAGTATTTGTCTGCGGTAGCGGTAAGGGGATGGGCGAGGGCGTTGAGGACGCTCTGGTCGATGTTGCCATGGCCAAGGGCAATTTGAACATGGAGGAAGCGAAGCAGTTCTGGGCGAACAAGAAGGAAGCTGGACAGTACATTGCCGTAAGTTGTCCACCCTCAAGTTCTGGTTATTCGATTCATGGATGCTAATATCAAAACAGGAGACCTGGTAATGTTCTGAAGTAGTGGGTTAGACTGACGCCAGCCGTATCACGTGTTGATATATTCGCATATGTGTACTGCACTGGTTTGTTTTGTTTTTGTTCTATCTTGGGTATCTCTGTTATAGTGTTGCTTTAGCGGGGTGGGTTCTGTTTTCAAACATCTGTTCACGGTTGATCCGGAATTTCTGTCATCATCATGGAACTAAACATAGAATTAGTTGGTAGCAAATACCTAATGCACAATGCACATTTCACAATCACAATGTTTAGAGAGGATGCGGTTTAGCTTGAGTTCTTAGAAAGTCGCTTAGTGTAGAAAGAAGCACATGACCACGAGTCAAGATATCTTATCCATAGCCACACGAATCATGGAACAAGTCTTTGCTCGCCAGATTTGTCCCTGAAAAAGGACACTAAGAAAAGGTTGTTCCACTTTTTTTTTCAAGATCAAGAGACTTCTAGGCTTTCAGCTGCAGTCTAGCCACAAGCTATCTCGGCTAAGATGTCTACAATTTGTCGAATGTGGATATTAGCGTACGGGACTATGCAAAAGGCTTTTGGCCACCATGAAGAAATCCCCTGAACAGCTCAATCACCTTCAGCCGCAGCTCGGCCTTTATTGCCTGGCTATTTTCAGCTCTCGTATAATCGAGGCTTAAACGGTCTAGCTTAAGACGACGACGATGGGATGGATTAGGACCTTCCGCCGGCTTCATCTCTTAAAAGCCGTCCGTCCATTCATTCCCTGATTTAGTCACTCTTTTCCTTCAGGTTTCTTTTCACCGGTCTCTTGTTCTTCTGTTTGCTGTCTCCTCTGGCTTCAACTGTCAGGTGGACGAGCCGACCGACGGTCCTTTCTGCCTCATTTTCTTTCTTGTTCAGACACACACTCGCTTTTCACAATGCCTCGCTTACCGTCTCTCGTTTCGCTTCTGTTGCTTTCGCGCTCGTTCCTTCCCGGTGTGTCGGCTGAAGAGACCGAGGTGGTGACATGCGCGACATCCACGCCCAATCCCTTTTCGAACCCGTCATTTGAAAGTGGTATCACCGGCTGGGGATTTGCCTCGGGAACCACTGGCAATGTTATCTCAGGTGATGCAGCCGACGGCTCTCTATATGTGTGAGAAACGACCCTTCTCAATGACCCTCAATGCTTGGGTGCATGCTAATATTGTGGTAGTGAGACGAGCGCGACCAGCACATCAGTCACTGTCCTACTGTACCAGAGAAGTAGCTCGTTCATTACGAATGGCCAATATACCGGATCATTCCAATATCGCATCAAGCCGACTTCCTCTCACGCCAGTATGACTTGCTATATCAAGGCGTACATGGACTCTTTCACCACAGCCGGCCTCCTCGGAAGTGCTACCCTGTCTGTCTCTTCAAGCACGGTTGGTTGGGATACTCTCTCGTTCAGCTATACTCCCACCACCGCCGGAACACACACCTTTGAGATCTATGGCTATTGTACCGGCACCACCCAGTATACTGGAGCCGCTATCGATTTGGACAATGTGCAATTTGTGGGACCTGCGGTCACCTCATGCTCGACCCAGACCATCACGATTACCCCTACGCAATTCCCAACATCCACCGTGATTCCAACCACCGCTTCAATTCAGACATCCTCCTTGCAAGTGCCATCTCCATCTGTGCTCTCATCGTCAATGGTTACTTCCCCCACGCCATCGGCTGTGACACCAGTGGTGATTACCAGCAGCAGCACACCCTCGTCGCAGGCCTCTGTGATTGTGCCTTCTCTTAGCACTGCTTCTTCCGCCAGCGCTGCTGCTTCCTCTAGTGCTGCTATTTCGAGAGGCAGCTCTTCCTCCGCCGCCGTCAGCTCTCTGACTCAAGATTCCTTTACCCCTCCCGCCTCTCCTTTCTCGACCATTGCAGTCTCGGTTCCTTCTTCAATCGGAGCAGTGACTCTGTCTGTTTCTTCGTCCCCTGTGTCTGCATTGACCTCTCAAATTGCTGTTTCTGCACCCAGCTCTGTGGCTGTTATTTCCCCAGTCTCTTCCGCTTCTCCAGTCAATCCTTCTTCCTCCATTGCAGTTTTTGCCTCCTCTAGCAGCGGTGTCATCGCTTCTGGCGCTCCCTCCACAAGAAGAACAACATATGTCACCGAGACTATGACTGTCTCGGAGACAATTTGCTCCACAAGAGCATCGCAAACTCAACCAACTGCCATCGTAACAACCACTGGAACTTCTGGCCAAGGCGGCTCGAGCGGAACGGAGGGCGGAAGCACTACCTCAACCATTCTCAGCACTCGCACTGCAACCATCACCGCTTGCCCGTCGAGTGTGTCGGACTGTCCTGCCTCTGCAAAGAGTACCTTTGTGACAACCGAGACTTTGGTGGTCTCTACAACTATCTGCCCTATCACAATGACCCAGGCTCAACCTACCGCTGGTGCTTCGCTTACAGGAGGATCCAACACCGGTCTGCCCGTCGGTGAAGACGGCCGAAGCACTACCTCTACTGTCTTCAGTACTCGTGCTGCCACCATCACGGCGTGCCCTTCCACCGTCCCTAACTGCCCCGCTTCGGCAAAGAGCACCTTTGTCACTACCGAGACTCTGGTCGTCTCAACAACCGTGTGCCCCGTGACTGCTTCTGCCACGGCCCACGGCATTAGTGGAGTCTCCACAGTCACAGCCCTTCCGACGGCCAGCAATGAATCGACTTCTGGCTCTAATGCGGCTTCCGGCTCCTCATCTGGACCTGGCGTTGTCTCAGGCTCGGGCTCTACTGCTGGCTCCAACTCTGGCTCCGAATCGGGTGTTTCTTCTGACACTGGTACTAGCAAGCCTAGCGGTTCCGATGCTGGTTCCTCTACTGGTTCTTCTGCCGAAACCAGCTCCGGCTCCGGCGCCACCTCTGGTAACAGCTCTGCTGGCACTAGCTCTGGCAGCAGCTCTTCTGCCGGCTCTAGCTCTGGCAGCAGCTCTTCTGCCGGCTCTAGCTCTGGCAATAGTTCTTCTGCTGGCTCTAACTCCGGCTCTGTCTCCAGCTCTACCTCTAATAACAGCTCTGCGGGCACTAGCTCTGATGGCACTAGCTCTGGCAGCAGCTCTTCTGCCGGCTTTAGTTCTGACAATAGTTCTTCTGCTGATTCTAGCTCCGGCTCTGTCTCCAGCTCTACCTCTGATAACAGCTCTGCGGGTACTAGCTCTAATAGCACTAGCTCTGGCAGCAGCTCTTCTGCCGGCTCTAGCTCTGATAATGGTTCTTCTGCTAGCTCTAGCTCCGGCTCTGTCTCCAGCTCTACCTCTGGTAACAGCTCTGCGGGTACTAGCTCTGGCAGCAGCTCTTCTGCCGGCTCTAGCTCTGGTAATAGTTCTTCTACTGGTTCTAGCTCCGGCTCTGTCTCCAGCTCTACCTCTGGTAACAGCTCTGCGGGTACTAGCTCTGGTAGCACTAGCTCTGACAGCAGCTCTTCTGCCGGCTCTAGCTCTGGAAATAGTTCTTCTGCTGGCTCTAGCTCCGGCTCTGTCTCCAGCTCTACCTCTGATAACAGCTCTGCTGGCACTAGCTCTGGCAATGGCTCTTCTTCTGCTGGCTCTAGCTCTGGTTCTGCCTCTGGTTCTGCCTCTGGTTCTGCCTCTGGTAACAGCTCTGCTGGCACTAGCTCTGGCAATGACTCTTCTTCCGTTGCTAGTGCTACTTCTGGTTCTGCCTCTGGTTCTGCCTCTGGTTCTGCCTCTGGTTCTGCCTCTGGTTCTGCCTCTGGTTCTGCCTCTGGTTCTGCCTCTGGTTCTGCCTCTGGTTCTGCCTCTGGTTCTGCCTCTGGTTCTGCCTCTGGATCTGCCTCTGGATCTGCCTCCGAGTTTAGCTCTGATACTGCCCCTGTCACTGTCAGTGGTGTCTCGCCAGTGTCTGAGTCTGGAGACCATACTGGAAGTGGATCTGAGCAGGATGGAGCCACCTACAAGGCATCTAGCTCAACCAACTCTCAGACCGTTGATGCTGCTGGGGGCAAGAACATTTCTGCTCCTGCCTCGTCTAGTACCGGATTCCAAAGAATCTACAGCAGCACTCCAACGGCTGCGTCATCCATTGCTCAAGTGACCGCAGTCTCGACCGCGTCTAGCGCAGCTGGTGCTCTATTCACCGGTGCAGCTTCCGCCATGCACATGACAAACGGGCAAATGATTGGTTCCCTTGCCGGTGGCTTGGTGTCTATGTTCCTCATGTTTGTCTAAAGAGGTCGACACTATGTAGTCCAGACACTTCTATCAGTAACTGTCTCTCCGAGACCAGACACTTTTGCCTGTCACGGCCTGCTTGTTCATACCTACTATAATAGTCTTTGTACAAAGATGAATGTATATCCATGTTATGAAATAATATCTACTAATGAAGCGACATGATCCAGGTCTATTCGTTTTAAAGTGGCACTGAGATTATGCCAAGTTAGATGACACTGGAGGTTCCAATACAGCACTAAGAGGCAGCGTTTGGTGAGAAGACCACAAATAAAGATGGTAACGCTTGCTTCCTTGGGACACTCAACTTAACCTTCCCAAGGTGCCTTTATCACGATTTTATCTTCCCCAGCCAATCAGAGCTCCTGTCTTCTTTCATGATTCAGTGTTGTCTTGGGTGTATCAAGCTCACCATACACCACACAATGGAAACCGCATCATAACGACCCTCGAAGTAGAACCAGATGGTAAAATGAATCGATACTGTATGCAAGTAGAACCGCTACCTTCCGCGCAGCCTCCCGAAGAAAAATGTACTTCTATATCCCGAATTAAATCCATGATACCAGGTACGGTTAGGTTCCCCGGCGCAAGGAACCAAGACTGGCTGGCATTTCAGTACGCGTGCTCGTGCTCGGCTAGATATACGAGCGTATCAAACAACCTGCGCGGACAAAGATAGAGTCGTTTACTGTTGTGTAACAACAAAATGCGAATATAAGGTAGAGAGAAGGGTTAGACCAAACAAGGAATGTTGAGGTCGCGGGTATGGTATATTGAAATCTGGACTTCGGAGATCCCGGTTGAGTTTGATGGCTTTTCTGTGAGCCGGGATGTGTGTGTATATATATGTGTGTGTATCAAGCTGCTGCTGCTCCTACCGTAGATGTCACGGGCAAAAGATATCTCAACGGGAGATGTGGTTCACCCGCCCATATCGAAGTATAGTATACACAAAGTCCCACGGGGGTGGGTGGGAAAGACCCGACAGCGCAAATAGTATTAGTTTGTATTCCAATATGACTATTTGATTGTAAGTAGCTTGCTAGTCCTAT